TCAAGGCTGTATCTCCGAAACTATTACTCAGATCAACTTTAAAATTTAGGACAATATTCTAGAGGTATTATGGAATTTAATAAAGCAACCAAAAAAAAAATCGATTTTTGGAMATTTTCAAAGCCACCTAATCCCTTAAGCTCGGCTCAACAAAATATAACTCTCTCTACTCGAAAGGTGTAGGAAGAAAGGTCATTGTTGGATATTCTTCTATTATGTAAGAAGGAAAACACATACAGATACTAATTATAGAAGCTGCATAGAAAATATGAAATGAAATGATTTCATTTTCCTTCTGACAAGTTCGAGATTAAAGCACTTTCATAGTTTTGATATTAAAATAAATCAAATAATCACGGTAACCGATTTATGCTGTACGAATACATTCTGTCAGTATTTAAATTTTACTTACAATCAATAAAGCATAATTATTATTGTTATTGTGTTATTTTGTGTGAAAACACTTACACAAAAGCCTTAAAAGAAGAAATTTATTGAAAAATAAAAAATATTTCTTAATTTATTTAGCTACTTTCATGATATTTATTGCCTGAACGGAATATACTAATTTCGCCACGAACAAGGAAGCACCGAAGATCCTATAAAATATAACACAAATGTTCAGCATGAGGAACTGACTCGATTGAGCTATGTCTTTCTGTCTGCTTGTATCAATATGAACTTGTTCCTCAGTTTTTGAGATATCGATCTGATATTTTGCACACGACCTTTTTCCCCCACAAATCTACTCATTTATTGGAGTTGCTGATATAGTACAACTAAAGCATAAACCCCACACAAACTGACTTATCAAAAGCAAGTTCTTGTATGGAAGCCTATTATATCTTCGGCGCAACCGAAATCCACTACAGTCGGATTTTCGAGTAAATAATCATACTACTGTAATGGTCACGATGATGAGAAAAGTTGAAATCCGTTCTAAAATTTTTCAAGTTTAGCCAAGCTGTTTAAACCCTTTRGTACCGAATATGTGGACCCCAGTAYCTACRGTTGRCTTTAGATCAAAAAACGTCAGTCAATGTGTGAGATATACAATTGAAATTGAGAGAKAATCCTTTTCACAATAATAATATTGTGTGTCCCATATACCTAATATGAAGGTTTTTAACTTTCAGGTGACTTTATACTGCATGTATATCCCAAAATTTCAGATAGCTCAATCAAATATTACAGAGCGTGTTTTACTCATAACSATGTATCTTTGTGCYTAAAATAGGTAACTAAACGTAACRAAAACTTGACCTACCGCCCATATAACTAATAGCAAGATTKTCRAACATTTGCCTAASTTTACTTCATATGATTGGTGATTGTATGTGAGGTACCTTAATAAAACCCTGGAAGCATTTTAGTTAATATGTCGGTCAGTGTATGTACGAGTACGATACTTTACAYATTAATAGTTTTACACCTTAAGGTAGTTCCCTGCCTTTGATTCCTGCAAGTTGCAAAAATACGGAATGTTCGGTTAAACCCGAACTTAGCTTTTCTTTACTTGTTTTATCTAGTTACATATATATTTAAGGATTTTAAGAAAGCATACTAATGGTAACTTCCCAAAGTTGAATGGAAAACCGGCAGCCGTACCCTGTACACAGCACTGTACACAACTGGCTCAATATTTTTAAAATGCTTTTTGATATAAAACTACAATACACATTACAATACAATGTAATTTAAGTATATGCATGGTCCCACACAATATATAATATGTACCATTATAACGACCTTCAKGAAGCATAGTCATGACAAATCTTTCTTATGATGATAATAGCATGTGTTCTGATATGGTTAGTTACTTTTTATGTATCAATAAATCTTTATATAAATACAGTTATGTATATAAAAATTACGTATAACAAAATGTATATAAAAGTGTATATATGTATGTACATATACATATGTATGTACGTAATCAGTAAGCAGTTGTTGTCAACTATTTCAACAGTCTGCAGGCGACTCACTTGTCTATCATGTACTCGTATGTAGTACCGTTATACATAAATAATGACAGTAAGGAGTAATAAATGTGCCGCATTTGCATTTCAATAGCAGAATCTTAAAGTAATATGCTGTCATGTAATATATTTCCATAGAATATGAATAACTGTTCAATGCATGTCTTGGCAGCCGTACCGCTYCCCGCCCCTCCTAGCTCATAAGAAAAGTTTTTGCTATTGATTTTTCTGTTGTGTCTACATATTAGTCTGTGACTGTTCATATTTTGGACACTTTCTTCGGCATACACTTGYCGCTTTTGGTGCGGCGTTTTTTGTTTTAACTTTTTCAAGATTAATTATTTTTTCTTGTGAATATTCAAAGAAATTGTCAGTGGTATTGGTGGTGGGTGTGCTGTGGACAGCAATGAGTAATGAGGTTGAGTGAGGTTAAATATTTTCTGCGTATATACATATRTAGGCATTGTTACTTAGGCAAACAAAAGAATTTTTGAAGTCAAATCAAGTAGGCTTCTTAAATTTCTATGTTGGCCTTAGCCAAGAAATGCTTAAATATTATTACAAGAAATAGTTAATTAGTAATTTGTATGTAACTAGGTAAATATGTAAATATTTGTGTGACCTTTGCTTGTTGTTTGCAAAATAAAGAAATTAAGAAGTTAGGTCCGCCAATTGCGCCGATATTTACTTAATATACTTATACGCAAATGTAGCGGGAATTGTTTRTGTACATATGTATACACATTTTTATACATACATACATACATATCGCCATCTAAAATGCAAATTAACTTAACATCACTTTTCACAAGTTTACAGGCGAAGAAAAAGCAATATAATTGAAATCACTCATATGTATTGAAAAACAAAATTTGAGTTTTGGTTATATAATAGTTATCATATAGCCATTATAAACTACTAATATTGGAAAAAAAATTGAGTTTTTGTCATAAAATGGTKATATATTGGTTATCATATACCTTTTAKAAACCACTAATATTGAAAAMAAATTKAGTTTTGGCTATAAAATGGTTATGTATTGGCTATCAAACACTCATATTGAAGCAAAATTTSAGTTTTGGTTATAAAATKGTTATACATTGGTTATTATATCTGACAATGATTTTAACTTTTTTTGATGATTCGTTGTTTTGYATTTTAGGGACGATATACATATACWTACGTTTATACCAATATACATATATGTACATATAGCTACCTATATCTACTTACTGAATTTTGAATTTATGGCAGTTATGGTTAAGAGGTGTTTTCCCGTTAGCTACCAAGTTGGCGTCCAGMAACGTTTACACTTTTACTTTTATGCCGAAATTTTGTAAATTTCGTAGAAAATTCAAATTTTATCTACAGCAGATATGTACAGCTTTGATTTATGACGCTCACTAAATTAACTGTAATTGCTTTTTAACWAGGGGATTTTTTAAGGTGAAATAATTTTTTTACTGGAATTTCTTAAACGATAAATTTTTTTCTGTAACTTTTTTTGAAATATTTTTAGATAATTTGTTTTGATAACTTTTTTCGATAATTTTTTTTATAATATTTTTATTTATTTATCTTTTTAAATTTAATTTCATTAATTATTTTTTCTTTTAAATCTTTGTGCTTTTTTTTTTGCAATTTCAACTGAGCTACCGTTGTATAATTCTCGTGGCATGCACGCTGTCAATTTGTGTTAGCAATCTGTCACTGCAAATGGCCAAAATCGTGCAACTAAAATATTACTACAATGCGGCGATGCGAACACACAATTACAACCAACACCCCGAAATGTACAACGCTAACTGATTTTGCTGTTTTATGACCAAACTAACTGTATATGCTATGTGTATGTACAACTCCATGTTCGACACATCTGAGTGGCTCAGTAACAATGTAAATAAACAGCTAAGCTCTTATGTAGTGCTTGGCCAGAAACGCTCATGCTACATTTCACTCACAGCTGGCGAAAGCTGCGCACAACTTCCTCAACACTGCACAATGCGTCAGATACAGCAAAAAAACAAATTGGCGAACCTGCTTAAAGGTTTGCCGAAAAATGCCAGAATATGTACTGCATACAGATATATGAGGTAATACCGCAATAAAAGTTAATTTTTTCGGCCGCTGATTCATACATTTACTCATTTGACTTTGACGGCGGTCGGTGGAACAAAATGTGTAATTTACTTTAATGTTTAGCATGTTTAGCGCTAGTGCGGCAAATGACTCAATAGCGGAGCATTAAATGAAGAGCGCACTAGCAGTCACACGTCAATTAAGTCGGTGAGAAAGCTTTTCTCCGCACACCACTTTCACTCAATATAGAGTTACAGTGATTTTTGAGAACAGCAGCTGAGTTGTGCGCATGGTATCCTGCAGCAACAACACTCACACAGATTTGTGATTTATATACCACAATATATACATATATAATCGATATATATACATATGTATATATATTCGCACAAGTTCTTTGTAAGCAATGACGTTGAATGAAGTGCGCTTGTAGCGACTGTTGGTGTGACGTTGGTCGGGGTCATATCAACAAATGTCACAATGCGGTGAGCCAAATGTTGATTAATGTATGAGTGCGTGCACCTTTAAGCTTATAAAATTATAACTATATGTTAGTACATTCTACATTTTAAGTAAGCAGTAAAGCGTTTTTTTTTATATTTTAAGCACAATTGCTCACACACACCACTCTCTTACAAGTAATGGCATGCTCATTTTTTCACTTTACTTTTATTTTATTTGTAACTCCTGCTGTAAACCCTGCTAACACTTGCAATGGTACATCAAATGCACATAGCCATATTTATAGAGCATTTCTGTGTACACACGTAAGAATGTCTGGCGGTGGCATATCAATATGGATTGCTCACTTCGGCGTATGCGCAACATTTATTTACATATGTATATGTATGTATGTATGCGTGTSTATGGACCCTGTGCGGGTTGACATTATACCTTCCGTCTTTTGTACACTAAAATATGTAAACGATTTACTTTTAGCATAAAAAACTSTTATGTCAGAACTTTCGAACCACATATAAAATTTCAATTATTTAGAATCTGTTTAATTATAAAAACACAACACTACAATAACTAAATTTCATRAAAACACAATGAGGATGAATTATGATAGTTTRACATKAAATAAATATAAAAAAAAGCAAATTAAACAGGAAATAGGACGTCTAGCGAGAGGTATCTTTTCAATCGTCTACGTTGTAAACTATTATCCAGCACTTGAAACGCATATATATTTTCATGATTCTTCAAGCGGAAGAGGTAACGTCTGCTAAATTCCTCAATTGTTTCCTTTACAGTAAATTTAAAGTGATCTCGGTGGAGGATATCGTTTCTCACATAGAAAGGATCCCCCACTATGTTGCGCAGAACTTTATTTTCAAAAGCTTGAATTACTTTTAAATTAGAATTCGCTGCACTACCTCAGAATTGTATGCCATACATCCAGATCGACCTAAGTATTACTTCATAAATTAGCAATTTAGTCTTCAGACTAAAGCAAAAGGTGGAGTACACTGCCTTGATATATGCCAACACTTTCTTCCGAATACTTGCGAGATAATTACCAGTGGACTAATTGGTCAATAAGAATTAACCAGATGTTCAGATTTTCCGGGTTTAAGAATTAAAAAAACCTCAGCACATTTCCATTGCGATGGGAAATGTCAAAGTCTGAGCATTCCGTTAAAAAKCTTGTCARTCATGYTTTCATCTCCTCCTGCACTGCAACAGCATCTGTKTCAGCAATCGAAAATTTCATTTGACAAACAACATTCAAGTTCGGCTACCTCTGCATTGGTCCTGCACCAATGGCCCCTGATGTTTASAATGCGTGGGCATCTAGATATCGGTTTATTATTTTGTGTAGTCGAATTCCAAAGATTGTTTACTGGAACTCCTAGGACTTGTTGCGCAATTTTCGAAGAATATGCTTTAGCTGCTTTATGGGCCGATTGAGAAGTRTTTTGCCATTAGGATTTCTACTAACTTGCCATGCAAATAACTAAACATTAATTTTTGTTTTGGAAATATGCTACTAAAATATATACATTTTTCTGAATTTATCGTAAAAGAAGTTTACTTAATATAAATCATTTAAATAATGTAAAATTCTATTATGTTATCTTCAAAAAATATTTAGTATGAAAAGTTATGATTTCATCATGGTTCGAAGGAGTCTTTTTCAATCTAAGCATGGAAAGGTTATGGATTATTAACTTTTGTACTTATATAAAACTTACTTAACTTTGTTAGATTGCACTATTTACATTATCACTCTTAAACTTTAGTTTTCAATATAAGGTACCACTCCTTATGAGTATAAAAAATAAAACATATAATTCCTATACATTGCAACTGTACCAGTTTTTAAAATATTTTGCATCTATTGTGGACTCCTTAGAAGTTTTTATACATTATGATAGGTGTGGTCATCTAACGGTTGTTTGTATCACCTAAAACAAATCGAGACAAAAAGTTATATATGTATATATAAACGATCATGTAGACGAGACTAGTTCAAATCCCAGTGACTGTTTGTCTATCCAACTGCACTACACTTCTGATACAAAATCCAAATTCGCTCTAAACTTTTAAAATTTTAAGTACTTCACCGACAATGTTAAAATGGATGAAATTGGATAATCACCCCGCCCACTCCCCATATAACGGTTCCGTAAACTAAAAGTGCGATAAATCAATAAGTAGGTACTCTTGAGACATTAAATTTTTACATCCAAAATGGTACGAGAAGGCTTTATAGAGGACGGGTTAAAATTAATGAGTGTGGCACTGTCCAAATTTAGAGGACTCACTCAACCACTACCAACCAAATTTGACCTACTTCCTAKATAACACAATTTTAACTTCCATATTCTTTCACTTTCCAGTGTGCATGTCAAGCAAAAATTAATGTATCGGGATRAAACATTGACCAAATAGTGCGCTTATACTGTCTTATGACCAAAAATAGGACTACAACTCCAATTACTATTGGGAACCTTTTTCAGAAATTATCGGTCCATCCGGGAAATATATTATATTTAGAAACTCAGAAAGACTCATTTTCTTACGAAAGTATTCATCGGCCAAATAATTTTCTTAGTCCTCATACATTTTCGTGTTTGCGACTGACTTTTTACCGCATATACAGTATGTGAGTTATCTTATTTGAATTGCCCTAGCCGCTATATAACTTTTCAAAATTTTCAAGCATCCGGTTGACTCTACTCCTTATTGCTTGGAAATGGTATGTGACGTAACTCAATGAAACTCAGAGATCATCTTTTCATGTTAGTAATATATAGTAATGCCAAAAGTAGATTAACTCGGGTCAATAATAAAAGTCTTCCTTCGTTTGGCTTTGTACCTTATATATCGCTCAATATGAAAGATATCTTACTGAACATATAATATTGGTTATGCTTTAGTTTAATGACGAAAATATAATACCTAATGTACATTTACAAATCTCCGCTATTCTAACAAACCTTATTATATGAACATGAATAGAGCTGGCCTTAATCACATATCTCTAATATGACTTCCGACGTTTTCCACTTCGACTTAATATTTTAAATTCAGCCTCTTCGGTTAAGTTTAAGTCAAATAAATCTCATTTGGGTATAATTTTACAACATTTTTTTGCTGACGGAAAGTAAAATACTACTAATTTTTGATTTATAATATAGCTTGATAAAGTACCAAACTTGATTATAATTCATTCATGATATCGTAGGTAAATAAAAATTGGAATACCAACCTGAACGCTTATTCAGTATTATTTTTATATCTAAAGTGGTATTGATATGAATGCATTTAAAAAATGTTCATATTGTTTTAATTTTTTGTGTGCGCTATCATTTCAGTTAGGTGGTCATAAGACAACAATTTCATTGCAGGAGTGTATAGAACGAGTCGTTGTGACTTAGGAGAGGGCACAATAGACCTTAGGTCGCGACGCAATTCTCATTTATTTATCTAATCTATCATTTGAGTCCTATGTTTCCACTACTTAACTTACATAAGTGCAAATCAACGCTAGAAGTTAACATTCAAAATTTATAATAATTCATATATTGCCAAATCGTTAAATTTTAGGCATAACGAATTAAAACAGAATAAATCGAATTGTTAGCTGATTTGAAATTCTTATATGTGTAATAACATTAGCCTTTTTATATGACATAAAAATGGATGCATATTTGCCGTAGAAAGCAAGTTAATTAAAAAGAGTRGTTAATTACAAAAGTATAGCATGCCAAATGTGTGGTTTAAATTAGTTACAGAATATTTRGCTCATATTAACTGACCTAGAATGCTTCGAGAGCCAGCACATTTACAGCTATATATAATACATAATTACCTTGTGAAAGACACTGATTTACGCACATTTATACCTCTGAACATACATGCATACATATGTAATACAAATGTTAAGGCTCCAATGAATCGAAAGGGTGCTATAAACTTATACCACACACCTCGTTGACTTCTTTATCATAAATACCACAAATACGAGTATCAATAAAATACCCTTGTAACCGCTAATATTAGCACTTATATAACAACTATGTTCCGAAGTTGAGAGTCTCCGTCCTATTATTTATCGAATGACTACTTGCTAATAGATATATAGAAAATATATGTAATTTGCATAACCTCTCTCTMTTAGTCACATTAACTACTTTGGCCGTAAACATATCTACAAACACCTAAATGGTTTCATAAATATGTGTAAACGCTTCTGTGA